TGAGTTGACTCGACCCGCCTGCCTGACCCGACCCATGTTTGACCATACTCGAACTGAATCGATCAACCATTGATTGTTAACCATTGAATATTGATCATTGACAGACCATTGACCGTTAACCGTTGACTGTTGATCGACCGTTGACTGGTGTTGACTTTTTTGAAAACCTCTATCATAACGTTTTTTGACGTTCTGAGTCCGATTCAGCAATCTGTTTTGCCAAATTCTGACCCAAAAGCCCCAAATCGACCCCATTAATATGAAAATGCTTAGTATTTTTAGCATTTTTACTTATTTAATTGGGATTTGATTATGGAATTGATTCGATAATATATTTTTATGAAGGTACTCGTATTTCACGTGATTGAGGGTCGGTTAGATCTGGTGCTTCTCGTCTGTCAGATCCGCATGATCCACGTTCCTTGAGAATTACTCATATGTATCTATAAATTATTTAAATAGGGGTTATTATTATTCATATTAGGATTCCGTTATAGATTTTCCGATTCGTAGGATCTTACGCTACCGCTAATCGTGATCGACATACTTAGTAATAGGCTTCCTTATCAGACTACTCAGACCAGTACATGTGTATTTCCTAATGGTGTTACATTACTGTTTTAAATTATTCATCTGAACTGTTTTAGATTTCTGATAATATTGAATATTTTTACGACACGATACCTGATTTTTTAATATTGTTTATCTAATATCGGATTTACTATACATTTCTGATATGATCTCTGATTTATGTATTTTTTGTATCTGATTTCTGAGTCTGGAATATTTTCATGTTTTAAAGGATTAAACTATCGTTTTCACTCGAATACATAAATGTTTATTACTATCATTGGGGGCATCATTGTATATCTCTAAATGCCTTTTTGTTATACTTTGGTGACACTTGTTTTTGCTACCGTCTCGATATATCTGTATTACCGATATTTTATTCTGTATATGTTTTATACGGTTCTCTGATATATATATATGTTTATCGTATGGACTTTTTTATGACTAATTTTGTATTATACTGTTATATGGATTTTAACGTTGTTTTAAATATGAAAAGAAATTTTTAATACAATATGTAACCGCCTATATTTGAGCATAACGTCCAAGCCGGGTCAAGGGTTACAACAAATACATTGCAGGCTTATTGGAATTCACATGGTTCTTCGCCTGTAATGCTAAGCTTCTTTCAACAAGAGAAGCAATCTTCAAAATGTTCATCTGGTTCCTGAGGCTTTTCGGTTTCTTCCAGTAAGGATGCTTCAACCGGCTCAGTGCTCGCTAGTAAAACTCGAATAAGGTGGACGCAGGACCACAATGACAAGTTCGTGGAGTGCGTTAAACGCCTCGGGGGTGCCGAGAGTAAGTCAATACTGAAAATCTAGAGAATCCATTGATTGATTCTTCAATGAATTTGTTTATGTATTGCTTTTGATCTAACAGAAGCAACCCCGAAGGCAATTCTGAAACTGATGGATACTCAAGGGTTGACCATCTTTCATGTTAAAAGCCATTTGCAGGTACTAATTCAATTTTAGGAACTTGGGATGTTGATTAAAACATGATAATTCTGACTTAAATGCTAATATCAGATTTTGTTCCCTTCTGGTTTCTTGCAGAAATATCGAATTGCAAAATACATGCCACACTCTGCTGAAGGTATAATTTGCTATTATGATTCTGTTTCTTTTCTGGTTATAATCTAAAATCGTTTTCTTTTTGCGGGAAAATCAGAGACAAGAACGAGTACAAGTGATGCAACTCAGATGGATGTCAAAACGTAAACTTCTTCACCCCTTCATATTCACCAAAAATGTTCATTTTTGTTTTCCCCAAAGCCTGAAATTCACAACCAAATTTTCTTTTCTGCATTTCCACCATGTTTGATGCGGCAATTTAATCAAAATTTTCTGAGTTTATTCCTATGTGGTTGTGGTTTGCACCTCACAGAGGCATTGCACCTTCAGTTGGATGTCCAGAGGCGTCTTCATGAACAATTAGAGGTTTTAGCAATGTCCTTTGCTTCTTTTTCATTTTCGTGGTATATCTTGCCATCATTTCTGTTCTGAATGCAGTAACTCAAGCAGACAAGCACAAATATTTGTTTTACTATTTGGTGGCATCCTGCTCTTCATCACCATAAAATTGAAGTTTGTTTGTTTTTGGTGCTCAGATTCAGCGAAATCTGCAGTTGCGAATTGAAGAGCAAGGAAGGCAGCTGAAGATGATGATTGATGAGCAACAAAGAACAAGTGAAAGTCTCTTAAAAAAGAAAGATTTCAGCATCACTCCATTTGATAATGATCCATCACTTAACTTGGAAGATGTTGAAGCTTCAATTGCAGAGAGTTCAGGGACTGCTAACTCTCCATCCAAGATAATGTTAGAGCTTCGGAACTCATGTCAAAAGATGACCCATTTAAATAAAAAACAAAAAATTCCCCAATTCCACCTCAAGGAACATAGAAATGCAATTTTGTTCAATCATATGAGCTTTGGGTTGTGAATATTAATTGAACTATTTATGCACATCAAGCTCTTATAACAATGTCTAGTTTTAAATGTTATAGACTAATCAATGGAATTCTTTTTAGCCCTTTTTGATAGCTAGTAGTTTCCTTGCAATATTTGTGTTCAATCATATGTGAGAAAGTTGGTTTAGAAAAATTTAACATTTTTCTCATAACCACTTAACGTTTGATTCAAATACTGATGATACTTGAATGTGTTTCTTGTACAAAGTAAAAACTTTACCTTGCCTGCACTCATACATAGTAAAGAGGAGCCGGTTCTCTTCAACTACCATTAGCATAAATGGCCAGTCTTTCTGCATCAGGTAATAAAGTTTTAGATTCTGGCTCCTACTTTATGGTTTTTTTTCTTTATTTTAGGTTCAGCATATAGACATCCACCCACATGCATTTCTTATTATAACCATTGACTTCAAAGTGAGGCCATCATGATACTAATTACTCCAACCAGCTGTAACTATTTATTTCAGTGTGCAATTCTTTAAGATGGAAAATTCATGTCAACTTTGTGTAGGACTAGCAAACTTGTAAGTAAAGGGCCTAAGAATTTATGTGGATATTGTGTTTATTTGTTGAAGTGGTTCTGGTTCTACATATTTGCATAAAGAGTTCTGCCCTTACAGCTAGTGGAATGCCATATTATAATAGTCCCTAGTAATTTCTTGAACCATAAGAATTTATGGTGCACATGAGAATTTTGATTATCAGTGCACATCAAGAACCTTCCTTTAGCTGTCGACACAGTATGGTCGGAATCAAGAAAGTCAAGACCGGCCAGGCAGTGATCTCGAAACTTCATATCGACCCCTCGGAGTATAACAGAGTGAGCTCCGAAGTGCGGCTGATAAACTGCAAATAACAATTATCTTTAGTTGATTGTAGTTATGTTTTCTGCAGCAGATTTATCCAAGAACTAAAATAGAGTTTTGTCAATTGTTGTTGGGACTTAGGAGTGGCATGAATCATAATATAATTAACTTGAGAAATGGACTTCCTCTTTGTTTACACTTTTCATAACTACACAGAGACTAAAACAACAACTTGTATGTTAATCAAACTTGAATTTGGTAAAAGTTTCAAGGTAAGTTGATTATACAATCAGAACACTGCCCACTGTTGGAACTTGAAACATAAAATCTCCGGCCCCAATTCTAATCCTTTTTCTTTTTTCCATCGTCCAAAAATAAAAACGATAGTAAATTTATTTTAGCTTTTTTTAAAAAAAAGGCCTTTTCATCTTTTGCTATGGAATTGTGAAAAACACCATTCAACTACAAAGACAGATCCATTTCATCAGATACAGACACATATTGTTTATATATTTGATATATCAGTCCATGTGGAAAAAGGATTTATTTTGGAATTTTCCAATAATACCCGATGACGATTATACCCTCATAACAAACAATAAATTACGGTATAGAAAAAGATGAGAGATTTTAGGTCATGTCAACAAACACTTCCACTTGAATGAGCTGAAATGAATAAATTAGGAATCCAGTTTTCTAGATACAATAAAAATAAAGGGCCAGCCTTTATGTAATGTTTTAGCTTTGAAAACTCACTCACATGCTTGAATTGTATGACTGAAATCAAGTCTCAGCTCACACACAATCTGTATCCAAGTACATGAAAAAGAAAATCTGAAATCAAAGCAAACCCTTACTCATCTGATGTTATGCCACGATCACCATACACGTGTCACTTAACCTTTATACCCACAGTCCAGACTTTTCCACCCAAAGAAGTTTTTTTATTAAAATACACGCAATCTCACAGTGAGGACTAAAGCCACCTTCAGTTTTAACCCTACAAGTACAATTTTTCTAACTCTAATACGAAAACTATAACAACCCTTCTAAGACGCACCAAAGAGGGGGGAAAAAAACTATCTTTATAACACTTTTCTCTTCCTCAGCCTTGCCTTCTCTGCTCCATCGCTTAAACTCTTTTAAAAACCCGTTGTGTCTTTGCTGAAATCAAGTCTCAGCTCACACACAATCTGTATCCAAGTACATGAAAAAGAAAATCTGAAATCAAAGCAAACCCTTACTCATCTGATGTTATGCCACGATCACCATACACGTGTCACTTAACCTTTATACCCACAGTCCAGACTTTTCCACCCAAAGAAGTTTTTTTATTAAAATACACGCAATCTCACAGTGAGGACTAAAGCCACCTTCAGTTTTAACCCTACAAGTACAATTTTTCTAACTCTAATACGAAAACTATAACAACCCTTCTAAGACGCACCAAAGAGGGGGGAAAAAAACTATCTTTATAACACTTTTCTCTTCCTCAGCCTTGCCTTCTCTGCTCCATCGCTTAAACTCTTTTAAAAACCCGTTGTGTCTTTGCTGATAGTTTCCTCTTAACTTGCACCATATTATCTGATCTGGGTTTTCTTTATTTCTCATTCAGATTATAGTTATCCAAGAAAAATAAAGCTTTATATTATCTGATCTGGGTTTTCTTTATTTCTCATTCAGATCATAGTTCTCCAAGAAAAATAAAGCTTTCTTTTCTTCTTTGTTTGCTTCAGTAACCTTTGAAAGAAATAAAGACCCAGCTTTTCTTTCCCCCTTGTGCTTGTAGTAACTTCTTGGATTGGTATAATGAGATTCTGAAACATGGGATTTTGTTTCAAGGAGGCAGAATATTGATGTATGTTAAAAGATCAGCTTCATTTTTCTTGTTTCTTTCTTTTTTTATGGTAACGGAGTTATCTATAGAAAAAAAGAAGAGGAAAAAGCCATGCAAATGTTTCTTTCATGTTTTATTGATTTATCATTTATGTGGAGTTAATGCTGTTTTTTTGGTGATGAAGATATGTATATTGTTATTTTGAGTCATAGATTTTGTAACTTTTAGGAATTCAGATAGGAAAAACATCTGCTGTTCTTAACCTTGGATTAATATATTGAAGATGGTGCAAGTTTATATCGGAAGGTAAATAACATGAAAGGGTCATGGATTTTGTATTGATTGATTTGTTTGGGGGGGGGGGGGGTCTGTATTCTCTCTTGATTGCTCAAACTTGGAGATTGTGGTTGTTTGGTTTTGGAGTTTGTTCTTGTGAACTTTTTAGGTTAAATTTAGTTTCATTTGTCTTGAATCTTATTATTCGAATTATTCTATTTCTATCCAATGATTATTTTCTTTATGAAATCTCTTTGATTTATTCTCGCAAGAAAGGCAGTTACAAGGGGAAACCTGCAGTTGGATGAACCAAATAAGAATATCTTTTTTTGGTTTAGGCGGTTTTTACAAGGTCTGTTTAGGAGTGTGTACTTGCTATTTCTTTTGTTAGATATTTTGCATCGAAATAAGGTAGGAATGGGGTGAGTGTTTTTGTTGGAATGATTGAATGGCTGCATGGATATTCTTCATTTATTTAGTATTGCCTCTTGTTTCCAGACCTTGCCCAATTATATTGATGTTATGGTATGTAATTTGCTTAATTTTTAACTGGATTCCGAAAACAGAGTGTGCTATTTCCATTTTGTGTCACTTGTTAAGCTTTGTTCTTGGTATTTCCATATTTAATTTTTTGCACTGAATCCATCTTTTTGTCTTTGCAGAAACCTTCTTTGGTTGTTTGAAATTGTTGTTTACGTGGATCTTTAACAATGAGAAGAGGTAGAGGAAAAGCAAAGAAGCAGAATGTCGTTTCTTCTCTTGATGATCCGGGAAGCGGTGTCGACGAAAAAATTCCGGCTTATAAGAGAAGAGGAAGGCCACAAAAGCAGAAGGATGATTTCGATGAAGATGAAGTGGAGAAGGCTGAAGAGGATGGTGAAGACTTTAAAGGTTCAGTTCCTGCCAAAGAGATGAAAAATCAGGCTGCCACGGAGAACGGAGGGAAGAGGAAAAGGTCAATGCAAACAAAAGAAAACATAGATTCACTCAAGAAAGGAAATGGTGTTACAACAAAGTTGAGCACTGATGACTCAACTAAATCGGTCGGATACCGGCAAATTGGTAGCAGGCGCAAAAACAAGCCTCAACGGGCTGCTGAAGCTGTTGTTGAGTGCAAGTGAGGTTCCAGATTCACCGTGGATTTTGTCTTCTTTCTTATACCAGAAGAAAAATCATTCCACAAGCAATGCTGGTCTGTGCGTGTATGGAATCAAATGTTTCTTTTTGTTCCTCGTTATTTGTTTTTGCAGTTTCCTATTCCATTTCCCAAACGGTTAATTTTAGTTTTGAGCTATTTTGATAAGTAATGCTTGTAATATTCCATGGTTTCATCAAAAATTACAAGGAAAAAAACAGTGATTTTTACCATGAGAAATCTTTTTATTTAGTGGATCTGCATCTGGAAACAACCTTTTTGTTTACCTAGCTGCATATTTTCTTTCATGAGACCAAGTGTACTTTACTTGGAAAACCGACCGAGAATGAGTGCTTTCAGTGTTGTAGAAAGAAGCCTTTAAGCTGAAAAACAGACCGAGAAATGGCGTGTATATGCTGATGGACTAAAGCATTAAACTGGGTGGCTTGTCCGAAAGGAGTGCCGGAATCTTTGTGATGCCTAAATGGTGAAATGAGGTAAAGTTGATTTCTTTCGTTTGCTTCTATAAACAAATTTTCTGGTATGTTTTAGCAGTCATGTTTAGATGAAACTGCATATCCCCATTGCATAATGAAAATATACTCTTTATTGGCAGAGTCATCTTTGGTTAATAGTAGAAAAAAGCTGATCTCTGATATAAAATCTATAACATTCAACCTGTGTTGAAGAAGGTGAAATTTGTTGGTGAAATTACATTTGTTGTGCTTTAAAGTTTGAGATGGATTTCTTCTGTGTTCTACACATATTCATCAAGGTTTCGAGTCTCGGGTTTGAGCACAATATTTACAAGGGTGTGTAAGCGTTTGTTATCATATGGTTAAAAATCTTTTAAATAGATATTATTTTGTAATCATTTCAAACTAATCAAGAAAATATTCCTGAAAACAGCAGTGAAATGTACAATTTAAGTATTACATTTTTTTTAAAATATATTTTACTTATCCAAATGAAAAAACATTAAAATGATATAAATCAAATATATGGAAATCTATATTCTCGAATGATTCATAAGAAAAATATGGTGAAAATATTAATAAAAACAATCTAAAAAACCTACGAGGATGAATAAAAGATAAGTGATCACAATTTATGAGGATACATAAAAGATAATCACTTAAAATTTTATAATGATATTTTTCTTTTGGAAAAGACAATATATTACTTAGCTAAATGTGACATCAGTCAGAAAAATCGAAGTAATAACATCTGGACAATCATAATCAAAGTATAACGAATAAGCTAACTTAGTAGCTTGATGAGCGAGCGCATGGACAACTTGATTTGTTGTACGTCAGACGGGCAATTGAGACATGGGCATAGGAATCCAGAAGACTGTGTGCCTCAACCAGATGAAATGAAGCAACTGATAGATCAATCCGACTGTGAAGGAGTTGACGCACAAGGTTTAAAGAATCACTCTCTATAACCACCTAATGGATTTGAAAGGAATAGACAAGATGAAGACCAGCATTGATCGCAGACACTTCAACCACTGCAGCATCACCACACCCAGATAACATAATGGCTTGACCTGCTACCACCATACCAAGACTGTCTCTAACAAGAATCCCAACTCCAGCTTGTGCAGGGGGGCCGACCATCGCACCGTCTACATTAATTTTAAGAGATCATATTGGAGGTTTACACCACTGATGCATGGGGGAGCAGGAAGGGACGATGTGTGGACAGATGTCGCTAGGTACGCTATCTGGAGGGATTGAGATTCCCTTGGAATATTCCAAACATGAAGTAGTCGACCCTCATGCTTGAATAAAGACATTACCAATATTATTTTCAGTTATATGATTGTGTTTAACATAAACTTAAAGATAATAAAGTCCATATAATAACATTATTAAAAGATCCATAGTCAAGTATTATTATGGGCATAGACAATAATAATACGCTTAAGACTAACATGTTATTGATTGATGACAAGGAGTTGTCATTGACATAGAGTTGTCAGAATTGATACATGATTATATTGTTAGAGAACAATGTATTGGATTAACCCATCATGAGCATATGTCTTGGATTATTATGTAACGGTCATAACATTGCTCATGGTGATGACTATATGTATGATTCTCAGACTTGAGATCAATGCCATCCCAACATATATTGTTGTAAGTTTTGATACAGTTAAACATGCTCCGTAACTGGTTGCACTATAGAGACTGTTATTGAATATATCTCGAATATGTAGTGGGGTGTATATGGTTAAGATAGGATTTGTCCTTCCTACATAATAGGAAATATATCATAGGGCACTTGATTGAGTGAGACTAGAAATGTATGGCCATGCTCGAATAAGTTGATATGTGATATCACAAATTATTCGTTAATTATAGTCTACTCTAGATATCAAGAAACAATAGATGGGCTATACAAGTGTGACTATTCTAAGACTTGTGCCTATTCTAGATATAAAGGACAAAAGGATGTAAAACATAACAGAGTTAATCACGAAGATGATATGTCGAATCATAATTTCTTGTAACTTATGTGACAATGATATATTGCTAGATGTCACTCATTTTATGTAATATTAGAATTGTTCTAATAATTACTACTAACGTTACAAGAACCTACAGGGTGACACCCTAGGATTGAATGAGCAAAGATGTACAATTTGTTGTATGTTACTAAAATATATCTAGAGTTAAGATATGTATATTTGATATACATATGATTTTAATTATCCCGAATATAGTAAGTAAGCATTAAAAGAATGTAATTTAGATTACAACTCTTTTAATTGATATATAATTCAGAATAATTAAATAAGTTTTTAAATAAACATTAAAGATTGTAATTCAGATTATAAGACTTTAATGTATATTTAATTTGAATTAATTAAATAATATTTTTTTTATTAATTCGAAATAACTTTAAAAAACCCTAAGATGTTAGGGTAATTGATATATTTAAAGGAGGTAAGGTCTAGCAGTCGTTTTACTTCAGCCATTTTTCTCAAAATCGATTTTGGGAAAAGAAAAATTTTGCTCTCAATCGAGTAAATAAGTAGAGGCCGAGACGTGTTTTCATGGAAGCTTACGATTCGAACCGTTTGTGATCACTTTTTCAAGAACCTATTGTAAGTATTCGCATCATGTCCTCTCGATCTCGGTTTTACGTACTTGGATCGCTAATGAGACCATCGAGTTTTGTTTTCACTACGTCGTGGGGTGCGCCAATGGTCCCAACAGTGGTATCAGAGCCACTTGTATGATCCGAATTCGGGTTAAATTCTTGGTTGATGCGATATGTATGAGATGCATGTTATAGTTTTATTGTTTTCGGCAAATATGCATGATATCATTGTTCAAATCGATAACCGCAACGATTAATATGTTAATTTATTAATATGTTTTTCAATCTATTTGTTACTGCAAGGATTTTACGAAATTCATATGTCAATTGTTGACATGATGATCCGTGGGAGTTCGATAGCAGATCACGTTTGGCAGTGGAACAAAGGTTGTTTCGATGCAGAAAACCTTCGAGATTGAAAATCCCAAAAGCACGATTTTGTTGATAAGTGTTATCAAATCGTGAGGTTTTTCTATAGAAATGAAAGTACTATTTTTTAAAAAATCCCACCGTCCGTACCGCGACGGCTGATTCACGTTAGGGGCTCCACCCCTTAACCCTTCATCAGTAGTACAAATTGAATGCCCATATTATATTTTAACAAAGGCGTAACAACGTGTATATATATGATATGTTTGTTTTGCACGGTGTTTAACATGCATGGTTATAGCCCTTGTTCAATTTACAATGGTTTAATTTGAAATACGGTCTGCGAGACGTGCCTTTCTATATCTAAGTTGTATTTCTCTTCTCATCTTACTCCCTCGTATGTAAAACAAATTTCTTTTAAAATTGTAATCCTATGAAGATTCACAATGAGCATAAGAATGCCGAGAAAATACCTAGAGAGCAATCTTAGGCTTTAGGGTTTTTTGGTTCTCCTATTAGCTTGGGATAGGCCACCTTAGTCATTGTTTTTGGGCTATAATCATTGCATCTTATTTATTGCTATATCTGTTATGTATGCAATGCATCAAATGATAAAATAAGAATAAATATTGATGAGATCAATAAGGACCTAATATTAAAACGAACAATGATGAGATAATTATGCACATCCCTCTTTATATTCTAAGTTAACTTAACCGTCTAATATTTACCCTCGTTAAGGCTTCGATCAATGTTGTGTGGGCTTTTCCAAAGCATTGGCACACAAAATCTATCTTGGTTAAACACGAAGAATAAGCAAGTGATATTCACCGGTTGAGATATTGGTAATAACTTAGCTAGGTTATTCTAATAGGATTAGAAACCTAGAGGTTAAATATTTGGATAAGTCATGAGATGACTTAAACAAGAGTTGTTCACCAAAATGAGGAGTTACCTCAGATGTAACTAGTAAAGTATTACTTACCTAAATAATCAATATCCTAAAAGAAAAGGAAAGTTGATTTAGGAAATTGATGTATTATGGATACTCACCCACTAGAAAAATTTTCGATTATTGTTTCTAAAATTAAAACAGAGAGGGTTTTTAATTTTGAATAAAATAGTAGGTGTAATTTGTAAATAAAGACCTATTTATAAATTTTAATTCGGTAGACTTACTTACTTTAATATTTTCATTGTTGTAGATTTAAATGGAAAACAACACTTTATCACTGCGATCACTCCTTGAGAATGATAAGCTTAATGGCATAAACTTCCTTGACTGGTTTCGTAATTTGAGAATTGTTCTCAAATGGGAAAAGAATGAATATGTCATTGAAGAATATGTTCATGATGAACCGGAAGCTAATGCTTCAAGAGCTGACAAAGACAAATTCAAGAAACATATGGATGATATGTTAGATGTTGGATGTCTAATGTTTTCCACCATGACTCATGAGTTTCAGAAGCAACATGAGGACATGGTTGCATATGAGATGATTTAAAATATCAAAGGAATATATGAAGGGAAAGCACGTCAAGAGAGATATGATACCTATAAAGCTCTATTTCAATGCAAAATGGAAGAGGTAACTCCTGTAGGAGCTCATGTCATCAAGATGATGGGCTACATCCAAACGTTAGAAAAGTTGGGATTTCCTCTCAAAGATGAATTGGCTACCGATGTTATCTTGCAATCGTTGCCATATAGTTTTAGCCAATTTGTCCTTAATTTCAACATGAATAAAAT